AACCTTTACAGGTGCGAGCAATGAAACGAGCAGTAGAGGCGGCCCTCGAGAGATAAGTACAACCTCGAGCGCACGGATGAGGCAACGGGGGATCTGGAGGCTTCCTGCTCAAGAAGAAGAAGTCGAGGAAGGCAGACCTTTGCCACTTAGAATATTTTCGGCCCCGGAGCTTTCACAAACTGTCCGTCTTCCTTCCGAGTAAATGTGCGATCGACCCATCCTGCGAACAAATCCAGGCCCTCACTCGGTTTCTTTGCCCTGCGGCCCCAATCCCCGCAACCTGGAGCATCTCTGAAAACGCGACCGGCACTTCGCCCTCTGCGCTGACCCGATTCAAACGCAGCATCATGACCAGGAACAGAGGTAGGATCAGAAACGCACCCCCCCCCCCCCCCTACTCCTCATCTGGATCACTAGCCATCGAATAGGATGCGGTCGAGCGAACAGCCATGAACCCAAGAGAATCCCCCTCGACCTCTGCAGAGGTCTGAAGACTCTTCTCCCGAAGCCCCGGAGGCCCCCGAACCACGGCGGCCCCGGTCATTCCCGGACAACTCGCGACGACATGACTCTCCAGGTGATTGTTCTGCATGCCGCCCTATCGGTCGCAATTCCCCCCCTTGCGCGCGCGCGCCCCGCGGCGCCCGACGCGCGAAAAAAACGAGGCAAAAGCGCAGGCGCGAGACGCCCCAGAACCCACCCTCATCGACTGCTCCTTGATCCTAATGACACGATGAGGTATTGGTGAGGACGCAGCAACAGAACTGACAGATGCAAACTCCCATTCGTCATCGCCCTCGCGAACTGGACCTGGCGTTCGCCAGCGTCTCCTGCGTGCGCTGCCACTGCCGTCCTGGGGGCGCCCTTGCAGTCAGGGCCCCCGGGCCAGTGGCCCGTTTCGTTGCAGGTCCTGCACCTCGGGCGTTCCGCGATCTCCTGGAGCCGCTTCTCGCGATCTTCCAGGGGAAGTCGCCCCATGCCGCCTCCCCTGGGCGACCGGGGCGCGCAGTGGGAACCCTTGCATCCGCCCTTTCATTTGCCCTTGCTCCTTCCCTTGGCGCCGAGGTTGGTGATCAGGTCATCTTGGATCGCAACAGAAGCTTTTTCCTCCGCGTGCCCGGCCGTGACCATCACGTCGACCACCTCGACGTCGGGCTCGCTGCTCTCCTGGGCGGTAGCCTAGTGAGCATGCGATTCCTCGCTGCCACAGGTGCGTTCGTCGGCGCAGTCGTCCCAGGCCGTATCGCCCCAGCCGTGCCCTGGCGAATAGCCGGACGCGAAGTGCCCGCAGGGTTTGAGCTCCTCAGGGTAGTGTTCCTCCTGCTCGCACCATCCGTCATCAGCAGTGTAGAAGGCGTGATGTGGCCTACAGAAGCGCACCTTGCCCTTGCCCTTGCTCCTGTTATGGTAGCTGGGTCTGGGCTGCGTCCACGTCGAAGAGTTGGGCCCTTTACCATGCTCGCCCTTGCCCTTTTGGCGGCTGCCTATGCGACCATGCTGGAGGATCAAGACGTCTTAGATGGTGTCGAAGGGTGTCACATTCCAAATGGATGTCAACACCATGAGATTCTCCGAAGTCGACAGGCCGGCATGGTCAAAGAGGAGGGAGCCGAAGAAATCGTCGCTCGCCAATATCTTACGATCGAACTTGGAGACAACATGCCACCAGCGCTTCTTTCGGGATATGTACGAGACCATCGACTCACCGCTCTGCCGAGACAGTGGTCCATATCGTCTTTGCCCCACCTGGAACAGGATCTTCTATGGGGGGAAAAAGTGCGAATCGCCAGCACCAGCTGATCGATCCCCTTCGGAGTCAGAAGCACGTCCTTACCGATATCCATGGCAATATCGAATGCGTCACTTCTGAAGCGTTCTACAACCTTGTTGGCAGCTGCGGTGATCACGTGTTGCTGTGGTACACCCGTCTCTTGATCCACTGAGGCCACGGCGGCAATCATGCGCATCTCTGTGCGGAATCCCCACTCGTGGAAAGGTGTTCACCGTACCGTCGTAGATGTACGAGCCACTCTTCGTCTCAGACCGCGTCAGCGCTTGACCGATAGCGACGAAAAGAAAATGCCATGGTGCAAAGCACAGTCGTCTAGCGAGGGAAACTGCCAGCACGGAAAGTAAAGAGAGGTAGTGCGACACTCTCTGATGGGACGTGCGTGCAGTGGTACGATACGGGGATCGTGTGGCAGCCCCGCTGCTAATATGATTATGATGCGTTTTAGCACAATGGCAAAAAGAAGGGCCCCCTGGAGGTGGCATCGACTGGCGCATATACACACGTGACACACGCACTATGTCACAATAGCGCTGCGCGCGCAAATCTTCACTCTAGTCCGTTTGCACAGCACCATACAATCCGCAGCCTTTTGGCGGGTCGCCCGCACCTCTCGAGCAGCGTGTGACGGGGCTCGTCGACCTACAAACAGCCCGAGGAACTTCCAACAAGCAGCAATACCTCGCTTCGACCCCCTTCTGCACCACTCTCCAGACTCCAGAACTCCGTACAGGGGCCCAGGGAGGCATGAAATGAATTGACACATTCCCCAGGATCCCAAACATTCTTCGCTATCTTGTGGAAGTCCATCTCCCCTTTCACTTCCAATAACTGCTCATACGCTCCCAGGCATCGACGACTACCATTATGCTGCTCCCGTCGTGCCTAAGGACCACCTCCAATAAATAAATTCGAACACCCAGAGAAGTGCCGAAAGAGTGTCGAAACAGTGCCGGGCGAGTTCCTCCCAGGCCCGACACGTGAAAACCCTTGGGTTCCGGTACTCCAGATTTCGTAATAAAGGGAGGGGGGTCTCATTTCGGGGGGGGTCTCTTCCAGGCTATCTTGGAGGGCCTGGGGGGTCTGGGGACGATGTTTTGGAGGGTTCTCCCACGGGGGAGGTCTGAAATGGCTTGTCTTGGAGGGTCCAGACCCCCTCCCTTTTATTACGAAATCTGGAGTATTTTTCTGGGGGCTCGAAATTCTTTTTGGATTTCCAGGATCAGATAACCACTGTCTGTTTGTTGTTTTGCCCTCCGGCGCTCGCGTGCGCGCGCCCCGCGCCCCGCGCGGAGCTCCGCGCCCCCGCGCGGCCCCCGTGGAGAGGAGGGGCAGCCTGGCGGCCCAGGCCGCGGCGCGCCAGAGTGAGGGCTGCCTCCGCGCCCATGGGGGTGACCTGTCCGCTCCAGACCCCCCTCGCGCCATGAAAAAATCGCAACGGACAGTTTCTGCAGTTCTAGGACTCCGGGGGCCATCGCCAGGCCCTGGGACCATCAAAGAACGACTCGGGATGAAGAGCCGGTCCTGAGGGACGGGCCCATGCTGTGAAAAAGAAGACGTCAGGGGTCTGGGCATATCGGGTCGGGAGAAAGGAGGGGATAGCAAAGGGGGGGGGTGAGAAGCAGCCCACGTAGCTGATTTTCCCGGCGCCTCCCGGCGCCGGAGGCGGCTGTGTATCGAGGAATGGGCCCCTCGGTGAGGCCGAGACCAGCTGCATGCAGCAAATTTCGTACCCCCCCTTTCCCAATCCCCCCCTTTCGCCCGGCCCCAACGTACAGTTGGGGCGTTGTTGGGGCGTTGACCCAAGGAGCCCTAAATAAGGAACGAGGCCACTTTCTCCCATAAGTTGAACTCCGATGTTCCATGGAAAACCTGAGGAACACCCAAGGAGCACTGCAAAACAACTAAGGAACACGGAGCCCCTCCCAAACGAAAAGGGTTCCTTCTTCAGCGCCCCGACTGTACCCCGCCCTGGAGAAAAGGTGTAACTTCTGAAGTGCCGATCTGAGGGTTTTCGCCGCCAGCAGCGAGCAGGATCAGAAGCAGAACAAATGCCCAAAACATAGACTTTTGGCGCTCCGCGCGGATTTCTTGGATCTGCGCTGGACCCCCTCCCTGGCGCGCGGAGCGCGTCAGGGGCGGCGTCTGAGGCGCCGCCCGGGGGCCCAGGGCGGATCCAAGAAATCCGCGCGGAGCGACAACAGCTTATGTGCATGCCTTTCTTGTCCGTCGGAGGATCCTGTAAGATCCTGCACGCCTTGCGCAGGATCCTGCAACATCTGGCGCTCTGGCCCCCGCTCAAGCATCTCGAGCGCGAAAGATACCCGTACCCTTACCCAGACGGGGTGGCAAGGGGCCCTCGGGGCATCACCCCCCCTGGGTCCGGGTCGGCTCCCGAAACCACCATACATACACGTACCTAGACGGGGTGACCCAACCACCACCCCAGCTAGGTCCGGGTATGTATGGTTGTTTCGGGCACCGACCCGTACCCAGACGAGGTGGCGGCAAGGCCGAAAACGCTCTAGCGGGCGGCCATTTTCACCCCAGCTGACCCAGGGTCCGGGTATGTTTTGGGCTAGTGAAAGCAGAGGGCAAAACATTCGCCCCCGATATGATCATCCCGACACGCGAAGCCGTTTCGCAAACGCCAACTGTCAGGTCCGGGTAGTTTTTCCTTCTTTAAGCTCAGATTGAGTAGGGACCGACCGTCCCGGCATTCCTATAGTCCTGCCACAAAATGTTCTCAGAACCCCAAGGTGTTCTAAGAGCAAAAACAACGTTCTCAGAACATAAACCCGAGACTCCGCCAAAAATGTTCTGAGAACACCTGGTGGGAACCACACAAGATTCTTGGAACATTTTGGGCGCCCGAATTTTCCGGGGTAACTCGGGCCCGGGGTAGCTCGGGCTTGGATTCCCGGAAAACGAACCCGAGTTAGCCCTGACCCGAATTACCCCTGATGATTTTGGGGCTCTGGACGCCCGAACTATCCGGGGTAACTCGGGCCCGTGGTAACTCGGGCTTGGATTCCCGGAAAACGAACCCGAGTTAGCCCTGACCCGAGTTACCCCTGATGATTTTGGGGCTCTGACTATAGGCCAGCCAGGAAGCTCCGCCACTGCTTGACAGGGGCTCCCGCGCGCCGTCGGTGCTGGCGACGCCGCTGCCGGCGGGCGGCGGGCGGCGGGCGCGCGGCGGCGGCCGCGCCTCCGCCGGCGGGGACGCCGTCGCCGCCGCGGAGACGCCCGCGGGCACGGCCGCGGCGGCCGGCGCGGGGGCGCCCTGCGCGGGGGCGGCGCGCGTTGTCGCCGCCGCCGCCGCCCTCGTCGTCGTCGTCGTCGTCGTCGTCGTCGTCGTCGTCGTCGTCGTCGTCGTCGTCGTCGTCGTCGTTGTCGCCGCCGCCGCCCTCGTCGTCGTCGTCATCGTCGTCGTCGTCGTCGCCAACGTCGTCGCCGCCGCCGCCGTCGTCGTCGTCGTCGTCGTCGTCGTCGTCGTCGTCGTCGACGCCCTCATCGTCGTCGTCGTCGTCATCGTCGTCGTCGTCCTCGTCGTCGTCCTTGTCGCCGTCGCCGACGGGCCGAAATGGTGGCAAGGAGGACCATACCAGCCAACATCCGCCTGGGGGGTTAGGTTCCTTATCTCCCCTTGGCAGAACCCAGTGTATCGACGATCGCTCTCCGGTGCTCTCTAAACTGATGGGCCTGCAAGAGGGGCAAGAACCACAGCATCCCGATGGCTGCTCCCACTCGAAGAAACACGCACACCGAGAACCGCCGACCGTGCAAACAGTAGGTGGTGACATTCGAACCATACCCCCACCATCCATCGATTGTCCTGTGCCGATAGGAGGCCAGGGTAGGGCTCAGATATCGCCACGTGATCGACGAATCTGAAACCCTACACCCGCCGCCCATCGAACTGCCCGAACCGTGTATCGGCGAGGGAGGGGATCCAGATTTCGCCGCCGAGCAAGAAGTCGAAGAGGACCGCGGGTGGAATCTGTCTGGACAGGGCCGTTCTCTGGCTCCGAACAGTGCTGCAGGAAGAGGGGCACTCTAGGGCTCCGGGCGCAACTTAAACTTGTTGTTGGCATTCCCCGCATCCTCGTGGGATGCTTGCATGTTCAAGACACCCCGCGCAGTGCTGACACCTCACACATCCCTCTCCTCTTAAGTCGGGCCTGTCCCCCTACAGGGTTAATGTCTGCGAAAAATTCAAAATACCCCAACAATAATCAAAAAATACTCCAAAAATAGTCTGGGTACTATTTTTTAATATTTTTTGACGTTTTTGGTGTATCTTTTGGGTATTTTCTATTTTTCGTCGAAAACCCCTCTGTAGGGGGACACGCCCGACATAACTCTCCTCCCGTCCTCCGCTCGCGCCCTCCATCACCAGTGCACAACCATTAGCATCACTATCACCATCCCATCAACACCAGCGACCATCATGATGATCACGACCTCATCGCACACGTTCGCGCACTCACTAACACACTCATCCACACAAGCATGCATTAACTCAGTCCGCACCCCGCATGTTCGAAACCGAGGCGGGTCATCGGCGGACTGTAGCAAGTGCGGCACTTGAGCACCCCAAGGTGGCAAATCGTGAGGATGTCTCGAGCGGGAGCACCATTCTATGATTGGGTCAGGCGTGTCCTCCCACAGGCAGCTTTTGGAGGAAACATGTGAAATAGTCCAAGCATGCCCCCACAGATTCGAACATAGTAATAGCAATCGTCCCCAGACTATGTTTGGCTTATTTTTGAATTCTCCTCCTGTAGAGGGAAGGCGCGCCCGACTTACCCATCGGTCGGAAGAAGTAGGTAGAAACATGAAGTAGGAAGGCGTTGGAAATAGATTGGGTTTCCGCACGCCTCCTGAAGAGGAAGGAAGAGGGAAAACCACTCGACTCTTGAAGTAGGAAGGCGCTGAAAGTAGATCGGAATCTGAGAATCCAAAAATACCTACTTTCAACGACCGATGGGTAATTCAATGAGAGGGTGGAGACGAGGCCTCGATCGGCAGCCCCGCCCTCGTGGAGCCAGCGCTTCATGCTCGAACCTGCGGCGTGCCGTCCGCGTCCCGGCGCAGGGGCAGCACTTTGGCTCCCCTGCGGCTGGTTCGCGTCGTGTCGACCCTGACGCTGGTCTCTAACATCAGGGGGACGTAAGACCTGGGTACAGGGGACTCGGAAATACCCGACGAGGTCGTCAAAAAAATGACGAGGCCGAGCCTGCATTTTGACGATGCCTCCCGCTGCAGACATCCCACGAAACTCCTCCTCGTCAAAATCCGAGGCGCGGTCGTCAAAAAACGATGGCGAACCCGAGTCCTGGCAAACCCGGGTCTTACGCTCCCCCGATAACACCGCGGGGATCGTTCAAGCTTGAACGATCGTCCGCGTCCGAAACGTCCAAATCGGGGCTGAACCTGAACGGTGCTTTTCGTGTTCGTTGTGTGTTCGTTTTCCCTCGTTTTGCCTTCAATCCGCCTTTAACGCAAAACGAAATCGAAACGAAAACGGCCCACGGAATCGCCCAAACACCGTTTAGGTCCACCCCTGGTCCAAATCGTTCCACATCGAACGATTCTGGGTCGCCCGCGGCGTTCAAAATTGCACGCCGCTGGCGGGGTCGCCGCCAGTCGACACGACAGGCCCAGCACATGAAACGGCACAACGACAGGCCCAGCACGACCGCGGCACAACTGCAGGCCCCCCAAATGCCAACTACCGTTTGCCACAAGAAACCCTCACAAGAAACCAAGCCCTGAAAGCCCGCGCGGGAGCTGCACCTTAGGGAGAAACCAAGAACACCCTGAACGCATCAGCTTCTTCAGCGGCCGCGGGAAGTCACCGCGCAGCGCGCGGAGCGTGGAAACCAAGGGTACCCTAACGAAAAGCATATGGATTCTTGATGCGTGCCCCGACTGTAATCAATCTTTCCAGAGATGCGATGTCGTGTCTTTTTCATTACGCGGTTCCCGGAAATCTCGACCCATTCCCCAGGACCGGCTCTTCAGCCTGAGCCGCTTTTTGACGGCCCGGGGGCCCGGCGCGGGTCCCTAGAGGCTGAAAATTGGAAAACACAGCCGTCTTGATTTTTTCCATGCGCTGGATCTCCTAGGGCTCCCAACTTCGCGCTTCGCGCTGCGCGAAGCGCGAATAACTTCGCGCTCTCGCGCCGCCCTCCCAAAGGGAGAATAGGAGGACGAGGAGGAGGGGGAGAAGGAACGAGGACCGCGAAGCGCGAAGCGCGAATAACTTCGCGCCCTCGAGGGAGCCCTTGGATCTCTGGGATCAATCTTCCTCCGAGGATCGGCTCGACCGGATCGGAGGGGGCCCCCGCGGGGGACGGCCGGGGGCGCCGCGCCTTGGCCTTCCGGGCGATGCGGAGGTCGTCCATGAGGCCCTGGGCGCGCGCGCGCGGAGGCAGCCGCTCCGCGCCCGCGGCTTCGGAGGGGGCCGAGCGGCCATGTCGGGCCCAGGCTTAGGTCGGGCATGTCCCCCTACAGGGGGATGTGGGATGAAACGTCAGAAACAAACGCCCAAGAAATATCTGAAAAAGTAGTAAAAAAATGCGAAAGCCATTGTTTGACTATGGTTGAGTCTGTTTGAATATGTTTGACTATGTTTGAATATGCTTGAATCGTCTGAATATGTTTGAATATCGTCCCCAGACTATGTTGTCTGACTATGTTTGAGTATTCCTCCTGCAGAGGGACGTGCCCAAACTCAAGCCCCCCTGAAAGCATGCGAGCGACGAGAAGAATCACGCCGTGCGCGAGAACGCACAGCGAACCTACGCCGCAGTCTACGCGGGCCGCCCGAGTGGGACCGCGTGGGACACCGCGTGGCGAAGAGGAGCTCACGCGCGACCCCAGGCGGCCAACTTGCGCGGGGTTGTCCGCGCACTCGACCCCGAATGCTTGTTGCCCATGTGGTCCAAAACGTGGACCCCGGGAGGTCTCGACCCATCCCTTCATTGTTTCCCGAGTCAATCTTGACGGTCCCGGGCGCCAGCGAGGACCCCGAAGGGCCCAGAGTAGGAGCATGAAGCCTCCTGTCGTTACTTTCCGAGTTGGAGATCGCACGCAGAATTCATGTACCCCAGAATTGATTTTTGTTTGTCGAATCGCCGAAGGAATACGTAGCAGTCCACGGACGTTCCATTATTTCCATTCTAGATGCGAGGACAAATCAATTTCGGGGTGAATCAATAGTGTAGCTGATCCCCGAGACGATACTTGCTCACGACGCGACCGGCTCTGTGGATGGGCCACGCCCGGGCAGGCACAGGCGAGACTGACGGCGGGAGGACACCGGAGGAGAGCCGGAGGAGCCCGCCTCCGAGGGGCAGCCTGGTGCCCCAGGCTGCTCGGGTCAGGCTGTGGCGGGAAACCAAAAACGATCCGACGTGGTGATTGTTTCCAGGCGCGGCCCCCTCCGGAACCGTCTTCTGACGGTCCTGGGGCCCGGCGAGGGACCCTGTAAGAGGCCGAAAATCGGAAGACACGTCCGTCTAGATTTTTTGTCAGTTGGACGCCCGAATTATCCGGGGTAACTCGGGTCCGGGGTAACTCGGGCTTGGGTTCCCGAAAAATGAACACGAGTTAGCCCTGACCCGAGTTACCCCAAATGATTCGGGGCTCTGGACGCCCGAATTATCCGGGGTAAGTCGGGTCCGGGGTAAGTCGGGTTTGGAATCCCGAAAAGCGAACCCGAGTTAGCCCTGACCCGAGTTACCCCTGATGATTCGGGGCTCTGACATTTCAGGATGGGCGGCCAGGTTCCCACAGCTTCCCGCCAGGCTGGCTTCGGCTGGCGGCCAGGCGGCCAGGCTCCCACTGCTTGGCCGAGGGAGGGAGGGAGGGAGGGAGGGAGGGAGGGAGGGAGGGAGGGAGGGAGGAGGAGGAGGAGGAGGAGGAGGAGGAGGAGGAGGAGGGAGCCAAGCGGGATCTCTGGGAGGGGCAGGGCGGGGAGGATCGAGGCGCGCGGCCGCTTCGGGAGGGGGGGGCGCGCTCGGCCTCTCCGGAGGCTTCCGGGGGGGCCCCCGCAGGGAGCGCCCCGGGAAGACATCCCGAGAGCGCAGACGCACGCACGATCGCACACGCGCAGCCGACGGCGGCGGCGACGCCGACGACGAGTGACGACCGACGACCGACGACCGACGACGGACAACCGACGACGACGACGACGACGACCGACAACCGAATGGCGACGACGACGACGACGACGACGGGGACGAGGACGAAGACGACGACGACGACGACGACGACGACGACGACGACGACGTTGACGACGCCGAAGACGACACCGGCTGGCCGCTCCGTAGCTCTCGCGCCCAGGCCGGCGGAAGGCGGAGCGAGCGTGCACAGGCGGCACCCCGTTAAAACCCGCGTGTTTCACTAATTTCGCCGACGGACCGCCTGTTGCTGCGCCAGCGACGAGGAGAACCTCCACCCCCCCCCCTTTCCGTTTCCTTCTTTCTCACCCTTGCTCTCCTCCTTCTGGACCCCTCCCTCGCCGATGATTGAAATGTTGTCGCCGTCCTCGTCGTGGCTCGCAAAAAACCCGGGCCAGCCGGAGGGGCTTGACGGATTCTCGCCTCGAGACGTGCGACGTCCCGATGTTTTTATCCTGCACGCGCTCCCGAGGAGTCCCGACCCCTTCCCCCGGGGCAGTGTTGTTGTTCATCCCGGAGGAAATCTTTTAGGTCGAGCATGTCCCCCCACAGGGGGAATTTTGGACGAGAAGTCAAACAGATACCCCCCAAACACTTCAGCACAGCAAGCAAAATACTCGAAGGCATCGTCCCCTGACTATTTTGTAACTATTCCGAATATTCCTCCTGTAGAATGACAGGCCCGATTCATGAGTAATTGTCTGACGGCCCCGGGGTCTAGCAATGGCCCCAGGAACCGAAAATCGAGAGGAACCTCTGTCTGTAAATGTCAGGGTATTGCATGTCTGGGTTAGCGCTGACCCCGGTTGCTGGAGGCCTCCGAAATCGGGTCCGACGAACTTTACGGGGTCAATGGGTCGTGCCGCATCGCCGAGATGCATCGCCGATGCATCGAGACATCATCGGCGAGGCATTGGCAACGTCGCCGTGGAGAAATTCAGGCTCAACATCGAGCCGCATCGCCAATTCATCGCCGAGGCGGCGCTATCCTGCGCACTCATGTGTTCGGACCCCATTGCGGAGGCCCAGAATGTCTGGGTTAGCGCTGACCCCCGTTACGGCGGGTTCGTGTCATGACGACCTGCGCGCTGGGTTCTGACACCGCGTGGATCGTTCAACCTCTGGTCTGCGACTTCCCGATCGCCAGATGGCCGAGTCTGAGCCACTGGCGGCACTCAATCTGAAGCGCTCGCGGCGGAGTCGCCACCGCATCGTCACGACGCGAACCTGCTGTACGCAGGGGAACAAACAATTACATAAACAAAACACTGCGAAGGTCCGCGCGGAGTTCTCGGATCGGCGCTGGACCCCATCCCTGGCGCGCGGAGCCCGCCATGGGCGGCGCTGGAGACGCTGCCATGGGGGCTACAGCGTGGATCGGAGAAACTTGCCGGACTGTCAGAAGTGTGCGTTTGCGCAGCTTTTTGCTCTTCGAGCGTGATGAAGGGGCCCACAAACACACAAATAGATACACACAAATCTGAGGATTGCCCATATTTTGACATATTTTCTGGGTTCCTGCCTTCCTCCACGCTGCCCATATTTTCGCACATTAATTGTGTCTGTGTGTTTTTGTCCCTCCTGACGTGAGCACCCCCGCAGTGGGGGGAAGCTGCGCCCCCGAGGGCTCGGCGGCGGGCCCGGGGATGGAGCGAACGAGAAGGCCTTCTCGGACGGCTCGGAAGCCCCCCGCGGCCTCCCGAGGAGTTTCCGGAGCCTCCCCCGCACCGAAGCCCCTCCGAGGAGCCCCTCCGCCCCCCCCCGAGGGGCCCCGCCGCCCTCCCAGGAGGCGCGGGGGCTTCCGACGGGCCCCGCCGCCCTCCGAGAGGGCCTTCTCCTTCTGACTTCCCTTACGTCGGGCCTGTCCCCCTACAGGGGGATTTTTCGGCGAAAAATGAAAAATACACCAACCATCAACCAACGATAATCCAAAAATGGTCTGTAGGCACTGTGTTGTGAACATCTGTTGACCCTCTTGAATTGTTGTTGGGGTATGTTTTACTTGCCGTCGAACATCCCCCTGCAGGTGGGCACGCCCGACATAAGACTTCCCCCCGCCCGCATCGCCGCCGATTCCCTTCGAGCGTGAGAGCCCCCCCGCGGCGGTGGGGAGCCGCGCCCCCCAGGGGCGGCAGGCGAGGGCAGCAGCGCGCGCGCGGGCCGTGGCATCTGCAGTGGCTTCGATGTGATTCCCAGGCTGCTGCACAGCAACATCCAGGGGCAAACACGGCTGGTATATCTATCTATATATATATGTATATATATGTATGTATATATAGATATGTATTGGTTGGTTGGGTATGAAGATGGGTCTTCGTGGCCGTGCATATATCTGAACACTCCTGCCGTGCGATGGTTGCTAACATGGTGGTCCCTTTTCATTGGATGGATCATACGTGCAGTCAACCCGTACAACAAGGATGCGCGATGAGGATGCAAGGGCCTCGGACGCCCCTTTCGAGGCTTTTCGAGCGGGGCGCGGTCGACGAACGTGGCGGACGATGGACCGAGGAGGCAGGGATTAGGGGAACAAAAAGTGGCATAAACATAAAAACTCGGAGGTCCGCGCAGATTTCTCGGATCGGCGCTGGGACCCCCCCGGCGGCGCCTCGGGCGCCGCCCCTGGCGCGCTCCGCGCGCCAGGGAGGGGGGTCCAACGCCGATCCGAGAAATCTGCGCGGACCTCCGAGTTTTTATGTTTATGCCACTTTTTGTTCCCCTGGGGATGCAAGGGTGCCCTTGGGAAGGCTGCCCATCCCTACTATGCGGGCTGACTGAAATCTTTTCGCCTGTGAAGTTTGCGTTGAAGTCCTGTCGTGGCGGCTGCCCATCCCTACTATGCGGGCTGACTGTAATCTTTTTCGCCTGTGAAGTTTGCGTTGAAGTCCTGTCGTGGCGGCGGGCGGAGCTCGGGCGCGCGCGGCCTCCTCGTCCCAGACGTCGGCCTGCGGGGCGGCGCCGGGGGCGCCCTCCCCCCCCCTGCGGGAGGCGACTCCCGGGCGGCCTCCCCGCTCTGCCGTGACCCAGGGCTGGGCGCGAGTTAAGGGGGGGGGGCGAGGATCCTCCTCCTCCTCCTCCTCCTCCTCCTCCTCCTCCTCCTCCTCCTCCTCCTCCTCCTCCTCCTCCTCCTCCTCCTCCTCCCCCCTCCTCCCTCCTCCTCCCCTCCCTCCTCCCTCCTCCTCCCTCCTCCTCCCCTCCTCCTCCCCTCCTCCTCCTCCTCC